GATTAGCCCACAATCCATGTTTTACAGACATTCTCTTACAATTTCAATGTGTCAGTTCATAGTTGATCAATGCGCAAATGGATAGACAAGATCCATAGCGACAGATAAGATCTTATTGCGAACTGTTACATCAGAGTTGTGATTTGTAGGGGAAAATTTATGAGATTGGGTTGTAAGTATAGTATTATCCGATTAATGAAGGAAGAAGCCATCAGTTAGTGTCATTGAGCTCATACATGGAGTCTCTCCATAAAAAATGGAGATATGTATTGAGAATAATGAGTTATATATAAAGTTTATTTTCCATCAGTTTTACATCTCTGATGTATGGTATGAGATTAATTTTTATATGTTTAAAATCAATCATGGAGCTGGTTTAAAGTTGGCAATTGAGTCTTAGGTCTTTGCTTAACACCTTACAACTTCAAGGTGGGTGAAATAAAAAAGGCTCGAGTGCCGGAAGAAAGTAATAAAATACAGTAACTTTTTCAAGCAAAAGTATGAAGTAAGAGATGAGGAAGGAGACAAAATGGTTGATGCAGGAATGTACTGTATCTCTACTAACTCTATGCTTGTAGCTATACAGAAGAAGAAGACAGCTATGAAGGACACAAAGGTAGATAGTAGTACTACTCCATCCACTGAATTTTTTCTAGCTTTCCAGTTGGGTTAAAGAGAAGGTGGAATAAGGAAAGTAAGTTGACATGTTTCTTTAGTGGAAAGCTATCAGCTCTGTAACCTTTTCCTGTTTTTCGTGCAACAGCCAAAATGGTTCTTGTTCTTTAGGCTCGATAGGACTGTGATTAATTATTTTTTGGTAAATGATGATTAATGTTGTTAACATAGTCGGATACACAGCACCAGACCACACAGTAATTAGTGCTCAAATGATTTAGACGATTATCAGCTATAAAAATGGTATTAAATTAGAGATCTAGAAGTTTGAACAATAAGTATGTATTTGGATCATGTTGATGTAAAGTAGTGGAAAGATGGGGCCCAATAAACACATAATAGAGAGGAAAGGGGGAATCATCAGCGGGCAATACGGCGCGCAGACCGGAGGAAGATCGGGAAATGGTTCATCTTCATCGGAAACCAACAAAAAGGGATTAATGGTCAAAATTCATAACCGCGCCCACTTCTCAATCCAAGTAAACACCCTCCATTTACCTTGCCACGTATACTTTTTGCACCAGAACGCTGCGCACGAATCACGATCCCCTTACCACGTGTCCATATGCTACGGGCTAATCGCACGTGTGTGTAACCGCACTGGAAGTGGAAAGGAATCACCACTGCTTTCAGTTAGTAAAAAGTCTGTGCACCAACCCACCCACCCACCATCCTTTTGTGATTTTATCTCTTTTGTTTGTTACTTTGTCATCTTTCTCTCTCACTCTTTATCTCCAACCAAGCACATGAAAATCTCTTCGAATCTCTGATTTGGAGAAGATATAGCTAGGGTTTGGGTGAAGGTGGAGAAAAACGCTGAAAAGGAGATGAAGGTAGCTAGGGTTTCGAATTCTATCTTTTTAGGCGTGTGTTTTTTCTGAGCAACTGTTGAAGAAGAGACGGAGATGAAAATTAAGGTCGTTGCATGCTTTTCCACGGCTTTCTTGACTTGGTACTTAAGGCTGTTTGTGTTTTTCTTTAATAAAAGAAAAAAAATTATTAACTTATAATTAATTAATACAAATCTCAGTACGAAGCTCAAGAAAGCCGTGGGAAAACATGAAAGGGTTTTGTTATAATTAAGTATTCCTTGAAAATTGTACATGGCTTTCTTCATCTTCACAAGGTAAGCTCACACTCAGTGCTCATCCTCTTCTCTCTCTATATCTTGCAGCTTTAATTTCTCTGTGTGTTCTCTAAACGTCGGTATGTAAAGAGATTTGTTTTTGTTTTCTTACATAGATCTGGCCTTGAAATGGAATTTATTGAGCACTAATATTAATTGTGGAAATATAGAGACAGAATTTCAGCATGTTTGTTGGTGTTTTTATTATGATTTACTGTAATCAAAATCATATTACTTGTTGAATCCATTGTTCTTGGATTCAGCTCTGATTCAATGTCATTAATTTGATGACAGTTTGCTTTGTGATACACATTAATTCTTTTGCTACAATGGTTTACTTTTTCACTTTCCTATATATCTGAATTTTTTAGAGGTTTTGTTTGTTCATATAGTTCATAGACGCCATTATTCTAAATTTCTAGCTCAAAAACACAGGTTTTGGTTCATCGTCTGTACTCCTTAAACTTAAAAACTCTACAGGTATGCATTTAATTGAAAAAAACATACTGTTGGTTGCGCACATGTGGTGTTAGTAGTGCGAAATTAATAATTTTTTTCTTGAAGCAAAACAGTGAATAATGTTGTTTCTTTTTGATGGCGGGACAAGGTGTGAGGGTGAAAATCTAATGGTGGACCCTTAATTGTCTGTCCATGAACGGCCACATTGTCAGGTTTTGCTGGCTTTCTGTTTGAGTAAAATGTAAGGCAGAAGAATTATGTCAAAGAGTTAGATGATAAGATATTCTAATTTTCTTCTCCTTTTCTGCAAATTTATTGGACCACCAGGCCGCTTTTGATGGTACCCGTTATCCATAGTTCCTGATACTAGTTCCAGTACCACGCCTTGGAAGAGAGGAGGAGATTATCAGGTTTCAAAGTTTTCAAAGGGCTTCTATAGATATATAGAAAGAGAGAAACTTGCTTGCTCGGATATGGAATCTAACTGAATATTTGCAGTCTTTTCCATATTCACTGAGGAGTTTTCCATAATCGGAAGTATTTCTGTTTGATTTATAGAATGGAAAACAGTTGGTAAGTGAGTAATGTTCCAAGCAATCTGCTTGATTGATTCATTCATGGTAAAACAACTAAAAAATCTTGTATATAGAATTTCTCTGTATTTCTATATACAATATTGATCATTAATAATTGCATGCGCTTAGGTATTAATGTGGTTAATGTTTCTATCGAGATAATTATAAAAATATAATCAAGTATATGATGAGTATGAGTAACTTATCATATTATTAGGGAGCAATAAGATTCATTAATGGGAATTTATTTTGGTTCTGTGGTGAGAAATTGGAACAAGTTATTTCGATTGTAATATTATTTTCTAGTGTGGTACATTGTAATTGTGACATGAAATGTAAATAATATTGGACATCCTTTATCAAAACACACATATGATATCAGAAAATAGATTATGTGGACAAAATAAAATAAAATAAAAATTAAAATGAGACATGGACGGTAGCAATAACATCAATTTTTTTTTTTTTTTACCCTCTTAATTTATTACTTTTAGAATATTATATTTAAAAATAATGATACGTATACTAACGGGTGTAATATCATGTGTGTTTATCATATAATCTCCTTTAATTATTTAATTTATTTTTAATTTGAAGTCATATTATATATAAAAGTATTATCATATATCTAAATCAACCAACTTTCTCCTTCTTCCCACTTTCCACCTCCAACAATCAACCAATTTGATAACCTCCTCAAGACTATAGAAGGAGTTGAACTGATAGTGTTGAACTGTTGATGATAGAAAAATCTTTTTGCCCATGTCAATGGAGATTGCTATTATTTTCCCATGTCTTATTGTGTAATATATATATAATATATATATCTGGTTTTATCAATTATTCATTTCTAAATGTTGTTTTAGGCCAACGTATTCAGCACTCTATACTTGATCTGTAGAAGCATTGGATTCTCTTTTATCTAGTGGCAAATTGACTAGTTACTTCAAAAGTAATTATGTGTGTAAATTCATGATTCAAAATTCTTTATCCATATGTAATAATAATAATATAATATATATTTGCCTATACATAAAGATTCCACCAAAAAATAAGCACAAAACATTAGAAGAATATGTATAAAATAAAAGATTTGGTATCAATCCCAATCCCCCATCATCATCCCTCACATCCAATTACGTAATATCCACAAATTTGATTTCTTCACCAAGTAAAATAAATTAAGATGAATCATTTCAAACACATTATTTTCATTTTTTTAAATTATCAATATATAATTGTTGATGCATGATTCTAACACCAACTAATCGACATGTGCGCAACGTTGATTGGTCAAGAAACACACGTGATTATAGATAGAGAATACGAAATAAATGCAATGAGAGCTTTTAAAGTGGTTCGAATGCTAAGGTAGCAAGTCCTATGTCCACTGATTTGTATTAATATGGTGGGTCAGGTCGCAAAAGCGGACTGACTTACAAATGATTGGAAAAAGTAAATACAAAGTTTTTAGAGAGAGAGAGTTCAAGTGTAAAATGGTCGAATCCCCTTAATGAAGGGGTCTTCCTCTTTTTATATCGAGTTGAACGCGTGTAATCATCATTAAATCCTTGGGTTGGTGTGAGTGTCAGGACATAATCCGACTTTACGTCCCATTGCCCACTTCCCAAGCTGATTTCACGCGAGTTGGGGAAGGAAAATAGACACGTGGGAGCTTCATGGCATTTGACAGGCCTAACGTGCGCTTACCGTTCTGATGGGAGCAGGTCACGCGTCATCACGTGACCTTCCACGTCAACTCTTGTTTTCCCAGACATAATAATAATACAATTTTATCATTTCTGATAGAGAGATTTTAATTAATTTGTATCTTTTACTATAACATGATGTTGGTATGCATTTTAAAATAAAATTGCATAAAATTGTTGATAATTTTATATAATAAAGATTAATTTCAGTGTTATTATAAATTTTGCAAACTATAAAATAACTTTATATAAAAAAAGTTTTTTTTTAAAATTTTTTTTATGAAAGTGTTGTTGAAACCAGTTTGCTTATAGTTTAACTAATCTCTAAATACTTTGAAACTACAAAATAAAAAAGATTTTTTTGGTGTAAAATATTTGAATTATTCTCCCTCAAAAAATAAAAATATCTAAATAAAATAAAGAAAATACTGATACCAGAAAAAAAAAGCGGATACGAGCAGGAATAGATTGGCGAACGGGGCATCAGCATAGGCATATAAGAAAAAGGGATTAGCATTAGCGTTAAAACTAAACAAATGAATGAGAAGCCTCTTCCTTAAGACATCAGAATCAGCATCTCTTCTTCTTCCAACTTCTCCGGTGGCGGCTAGGGTTTTCTTCAACCATCACTCACTCAGCTCTCGCTTCTTCACCATCCGTTCCTCCGCTTCTTCATTTTCAGCCTTCGCCATGCCAGGCGTCGATCCTCAACAGCTCGAGTGGCCGGCCACTAAAGTCCGCGACACCTTCTTCAAATTCTTCGAAGACAAGAATCACGTTTACTGGAAATCCAGCCCCGTCGTGCCTCTCAGTGATCCAACTCTCTTGTTCGCTAATGCCGGTATAATTAATTATATTTTATTTAAATTTTGTTTTTGTTTCGGATTTGAATTGAAATATAATTGAATTGATACTCGACAGGCATGAACCAGTACAAGCCGATTTTTCTTGGGACGGCGGATCCGAACACTCAATTGAGTAAGCTAACACGTGCGTGTAACACACAGAAGTGTATTCGCGCGGGTGGGAAGCACAATGATTTGGATGATGTAGGGAAGGATACTTACCATCATACTTTCTTTGAAATGTTGGGAAACTGGTCATTTGGTGACTATTTTAAGCAAGAAGCTATTGAATGGGCTTGGGAGCTTCTTACAAAAGTTTATAGGCTACCTAGTGATCGAATTTATGCTACTTATTTTGGTGGAGATGAGAGCGCGGGTCTTGTGCCTGATACTGAAGCTAGACAGATTTGGCTCAAGTTTCTACCTCCTAGTCGTGTTCTGCCTTTTGGTTGTAAGGTATTTTTATTTTTGTCTACTTTGTAATATTAGAAACTTTATTTATTTCTTTAAAGTGTTAGTCATTTTTTTTTTTAAAAATAATTACGAGGGAAAAAATTATTCACTCAGTTAAATGACTTGTACCATAAGTAATTGGGTGCCTGTAAAATATCACTTGAGCATGCCGAGCTGCATGCCACCCTTACATAACTATGCATCATAGTTATAGTTTTAAAATTTTAATGTTATGTGAGATTAAAGGTCTGATTGTTACTCGAGCAAAGAACTGAGGTTAAGTTTAGCACAGGAAAGGAAACATGTGACTTGCTTGGTAAAGAAACGGAAAAGAGTCTCAAATTTAGCTCTTGCTCATGTAAATTATTCTGACATACGAACTATTAAGGTTCATTTAACAGACTCATCATGACAAAAGTTTATTGTTATGTATTTCAATGCTATTGAGGTGAATGGAATCTGTAATTTATCCAATAGATAGACATATTCACTTCCACTACCATGTTTGCTTTATATACTTCAGTTCAGATTTTATCTCGATAGCTTCTTTCAAAATATTCTTGATATGATATGCTGTCCATAGCAGTTCACCCTTTTTCTTTTTTATCTGCTGCAATGCAAACATAATATTCGATGATTAATTTGGGTTTCAATTTTTGGTTTTTCTGTTATTTTGTCATGTTGGTGCAAATGCAATATCTAAATTGGTTTTGTTTTTCTTTTTTTCTTTAATGAAGGATAATTTTTGGGAGATGGGTGATACTGGTCCTTGTGGGCCTTGCACTGAAATTCACTTTGATAGAATTGGTAACCGCGATGCTGCATCATTGGTTAATAATGACGATCCTACATGCATCGAGATATGGAACCTTGTCTTTATTCAGGTATAATATTAAGAACTTGGAATTTGGTCAAACATTAATGATGATGATATGTGCTTGGCATTTCTATTTGCTGGTTTCTGCTCACATGGCAAGAAGGATAACATTTGCACATCCGTTGACTTCTCTCTGGATATCTGTATGATGTTTAGCAATTGGATTTTTTATTGGTGGTTTTTTTTTTTTTTTTTTGTTAATATAGTTCATAGACGCCATTATTCTAAATTTCTAGCTCAAAAACAACAGGTTTGGGTCATGTCTGTACTCCTTAAACTTAAAAACTCTACAGGTATGCATTTAATTGAAAAAAACATACTGTTGGTTGCGCACATGTGGTGTTAGTAGTGCGAAATTAATAATTTTTTCTTGAAGCAAAACAGTGAATAATGTTGTTTCTTTTTGATGGCGGGACAAGGTGTGAGGGTGAAAATCTAATGGTGGACCCTTAATTGTCTGTCCATGAACGGCCACATTGTCAGGTTTTGCTGGCTTTCTGTTTGAGTAAAATGTAAGGCAGAAGAATTATGTCAAAGAGTTAGATGATAAGATATTCTAATTTTTCTTCTCTTTTCTGCAAATTTATTGGACCACCAGGCCGCTTTTGATGGTACCGTTATCCATAGTTCTGATACTAGTTCCATACCACGCCTTGGAAGAGAGAGAGATTATCAGGTTTCAAAGTTTTCAAAGGGCTATAGATATATAGAAAGAGAGAAACTTGCTTGCTGGATATGGAATCTAACTGAATATTTGCAGTCTTTTCCATATTCATGAGGAGTTTTCCATAATCGGAATATTTCTGTTTGATTTATAGAATGGAAAACAGTTGGTAAGTGAGTAATGTTCCAAGCAATCTGTTGATTGATTCATTCATGGTTAAAACAACTAAAAAATCTTGTATATATAGAATTTCTCTGTATTTCTATATACAATATTGATCATTAATAATGCATGCGCTTAGGTATTAATGTGGATTAATGTTTCTATCGAGAAATTATAAAAATATAATCAGTATATGATGAGTATGAGTAACTTATCATATTATTAGGGAGCAATAAGATTCATTAATGGGAATTTATTTTGGTTCTGTGGTGAGAAATTGGAACAAGTTATTTCGATTGTAATATTATTTTCTAGTGTGGTACATTGTAATTGTGACATGAAATGTAAATAATATTGGACATCCTTTATCAAAACACACATATGAATCAGAAAATAGATTAGTGGACAAAATAAAATAAAATAAAAAATTAAAATGAGACATGGACGGTACAATAACATCAATTTTTTTTTTTTTACCTCTTAATTTATTACTTTTAGAATATTATATTTAAAAATAATGATACTATACTAACGGGTGTAATACGTGTGGTTTATCATATAATCTCCTTTAATTATTTAATTTATTTTTAATTTGAAGTCATATATTATATATATAAAGTATTATCATATATCTAAATCAACCAACTTTCTCCTTCTTCCCACTTTCCACCTCCAACAATCAACCAATTTGATAACCTCCTCAAGACTATAGAAAGAGTTGAACTGTAGTTGAACTGTTGATGATAGAAAAATCTTTTGCCATGTCATGAGATTGTATTATTTCCATTCTATGTTATATATAATATAATATATATATGGTTTTATCAATTATTCATTTCTAAATGTTGTTTTAGGCAACGTATTCAGCACTCTATACTTGATTTAGAAGCATTGGATTCTCTTTTATCTAGTGGCAAATTGACTAGTTACTTCAAAATAATAGTGTGTAAATTCATGATTCAAAATTCTTATCCATAGTATAATAATAATATATATATTTGCCTAACATAAAGATTCCACCAAAAAATAAGCACAAAACATTAGAAGAATATGTATAAAATAAAAGATTTGGTATCCCCTCCCCATCCCCCATCATCATCCTCACATCCAATTACGTAATATCCACAAATTTGATTTCTTCACCAAGTAAAATAAATTAAGATGAATCATTTCAAACACATTATTTTCATTTTTTTAAATATCAATTATAATTGTTGATGCATGATTCTAACACCAACTAACGACATGTGCGCAACGTTGATTGGTCAAGAAACACACGTGATTAAGATAGAGAATACGAAATAAATGCAATGAGAGTTTTAAAGTGGTTCGAATGCTAAGGTAGCAAGTCCTATGTCCACTGATTTGTTTAATATGGTGGGTCAGGTCGCAAAAGCGGACTGACTTACAAATGATTGGAAAAAGTAAATACAAAGTTTTTAGAGAGAGAGAGGTCAAGTGTAAAATGGTCGAATCCCCTTAATGAAGGGTCTTCCTCTTTTTATATCGAGTTGAACGCGTGTAATCATCATAAATCCTGGGTTAAAAAGAAGGGCAAATAAAAGCCCTAATTAAGTAAGATTATTTTTTGTATTAAATGGGGTTTAAAGAAAATTTTCTAAATGATCAATTTGATGGAGCTAAAGATCACTTCAAGCCTCAAGGAATAAAATTAGGGCCCAGAAGAATAAATGCTAGTGTGAAAGCCCAAATTGGCTCAACCCAGTATTTCCTTTGAAACTTAATTTGAAGTACATCAATCAATCCTTTGAAACTTAAATTGAAGTAATCAATGTTAAGCAGAATTAATGGCAATGAGGATTAGCCCACAATCCATGTTTTACAGACATTCTCTTACAATTTCAATGTGTCAGTTCATAGTTGATCAATGCGCAAATGGATAGACAAGATCCATAGCGAACAGATAAGACTTATTTGCGAACTGTTACATCAGAGTTGTGATTTGTAGGGGAAAATTTATGAGATTGGGTTGTAAGTATAGTATTATCCGATTAATGAAGGAAGAAGCCATCAGTTAGTGTCATTGAGCTCATACATGGAGTCTCTTGCATAAAAAATAGAGAAATGTATTGAGAATAATGTGTTATATACAAAGTTTATTTTACATAAGTTTTACATCTCTGATGATATGGTATGACCGTATGAGATTAATTTTATATGTTTAAAATCAATCATGGAGCTGATTTAAAGTTGGCAATTGAGTCTTAGGTCTTTGCTTAACACCTTACAACTTCAAGATGGGTGAAATAAATAAAGGCTCAAGTGTAGGAAGAATCAAGAAAGTAATAAAAATACAGTAACTTTTTTCAGACAAAAAGTATGAAGAGACGAGGAAGAAGACAAAATGGGTTGATGCAGGAATGTACTGTATCTCTACTAACTCTATGCTTGTAGCTATACAGAAGAAGAAGACAGCTATGAAGGACCACAAATGGTAGATAGTAGTACTACTCCATCCACTGGATTTTTTCTAGCTTTCCAGTTGGGTTAAAGAGAAGGTGGAATAAGGAAAGTAAGTTGACATATTTCTTTAGTGGAATAGCTATCAGCTCTGTAACCTTTTCCTGTTTTTCGTGCAACAGCCAAAATGGTATCTTGTTCTTTAGGCTCGATAGGACTGTGATTAATTATTTTTTGGTAAATGATGATTAATGTTGTTAACATAGTCGGATACACAGCACCAGACCACACAATAATTAGTGTTCAAATGATTTAGACGGATTATCAGCTATAAAAATGGTATTGAATTAGTGATCTAGAAGTTTGAACAATAAGTATGTATTTGGATCATGTTGATGTAAAATAAGTGGAAAGATGGGGCCCAATAACACACATAATAGAGAGGGAATGGGGGAATCATCAGCGGGCAATACGGCGCGCAGACCGGAGGAAGATCGGGAAATGGTTCATCTTCATCGGAAACCAACAAAAAGGAATTAATGGTCAAAATTCATAACCGCGCACCACTTCTCAACCCAAGTAAACGCCCTCCATTTCACCTTGCCACGTATACTTTTTGCACCAGAACGCTGCGCACGAATCACGATCCCCCTTACCACGTGTCCATATGCTACGGGCTAATGGCACGTGTGTGTAACCGCACTGGAAGTGGAAAGGAATCACCACTGCTTTCAGTTAGTAAAAAGTCTGTGCACCAACCCACCCACCCACCATCCTTTTGTGATTTTATCTCTTTTGTTTGTTACTTTGTCATCTTTCTCTCTCACTCTTTATCTCCAACCAAGCACATGAAAAATCTCTTCGAATTCTCTGAATTGGAGAAGATATAGCTAGGGTTTGGGTGAAGGTGGAGAAAAAACGCTGAAAAAGGAGATGAAGGTAGCTAGGGTTTCGAATTCTATCTTTTTAGGCGTGTGTTTTTTCTGAGCAACTGTTGAAGAAGAGACGGAGATGAAAATTAAGGTCGTTGCATGCTTTTCCACGGCTTTCTTGAACTTGGTACTTAAGGCTGTTTGTGTTTTTCTTTAATAAAAGAAAAAAAAATTATTAACTTAATTAATTAATTAATACAAATCTCAGTACGAAGCTCAAGAAAGCCGTGGGAAAACATGAAAGGGTTTTGTTATAATTAAGTATTCCTTGAAAATTGTACATGGCTTTCTTCATCTTCACAAGGTAAGCTCACACTCAGTGCTCATCCTCTTCTCTCTCTATATCTTGCAGCTTTAATTTCTCTGTGTGTTCTCTAAACGTCGGTATGTAAAGAGATTTGTTTTTGTTTTCTTACATAGATCTGGCCTTGAAAATGGAATTTATGGAGCGCTAATATATAATTGTGGAAATATAGAGACAGAATTTCAACATGTTTGTTGGTTTTTTTATTATGATTTACTGTAATCAAAATCATATTACTTGTTGAATCCATTGTTCTTGGATTCAGCTCTGATTCAATGTCATTAATTTGATGACAGTTTGCTTTGTGATACACATTAATTCTTTTGTTACAATGGTTTACTTTTTCACTTTCCTTATATATCTGAATTTTTTAGAAGGTTTTGTTTGTTCATATAGTTCATAGACGCCATTATTCTAAATTTCTAGCTCAAAAACAACAGGTTTTGGTTCATCGTCTGTACTCCTTAAAACTTAAAAACTCTACAGGTATGCATTTAATTGAAAAAAACATACTGTTGGTTGCGCACATGTGGTGTTAGTAGTGCGAAATTAATGATTTTTTTCTTGAAGCAAAACAGTGAATAATGTTGTTTCTTTTTGATGGCGGGACAAGGTGTGAGGGTGAAAATCTAATGGTGGACCCTTAATTGTCTGTCCATGAACGGCCACATTGTCAGGTTTTGCTGGCTTTCTGTTTGAGTAAAATGTAAGGCAGAAGAATTATGTCAAAGAGTTAGATGATAAGATATTCTAATTTCTTCATCACTCTCTCCTTTTCTGCAAATTTATTGGACCACCAGGCCGCTTTTGATGGTACCCGTTATCCATAGTTCCTGATACCAGTTCCAATACCACGCTTTGGAAGAGATATCAGGTTTCAAAGTTTTCAAAGGGCTTCTATATGTATAGAGAGAGAGAGAAACTTGCTTGCTTGGATATGGATTCTATCTGAATATTTGCAGTCTTTTCCATATTCATTGAGGAGTTTTCCATAATCGGAAGTATTTCTGTTTGATTTATAGAATGGAAAACAGTTGGTAAGTGAGTAATGTTCCAAGCAATCTGTTTGATTGATTCATTCATGGTTAAAACAACTAAAAAATCTTGTTATATATAGAATTTCTCTTGTATTTCTATATGCAATATATTGATCATTAATAATTGCATGCGCTTAGGTACTTACATATTTTTTATGTAAATAACTTATACTAGTATTAATGTGGTATAATGTTTCTATCGAGATCATTATAAAAAAAATAATCAAAGTATATGATGAGTATGAGTAACTTATCATA